TCCCAGAATGCTTTGCCCAGAGAGCCCTCTTCGCAAAGCATTATGGGATTTTCTGTCTGGGCTGCTCTCCCATTGGCTGCTGTGGAGTCTCTGCCTTCAGTCGGGGTCAGAGGTCACAGTGCAGCCTGTCGGGTGAACCTGCTCTCCTGCAGACCGAGGGACCTGAATGTGTTCTGTGATGTCATCCTCCCAGGGTCCAGAAGCAGCTGCTGGGTTAACTGGTCGCCCTTAATGGTTCTGCATGTCCGATTGAACCTAAGATCCCAGTGAGCAGCTGGTTTTTAAAATGCTGCTCAAATATGAACGACAAGGGTGAAAAGTCTGCGTAGAGCTTGGTCTGATCTGTGTGGGCCTCTGAGGGTCAGAGGTCACCCGTGCTGGCGTCTAATGCTCTCCTGTCCTCACAGTACCTGCCGTTCCAATGGCCGCTCCTCGACCTTCCAGGAAGGGCAGGCGTCAGAGACTCTGCTGCTCCCACACACCTGGTAGGACCCGCTCACACTCACACCATTCAGACGCTGAACCGCACCACCTCCTGTCTGCCTGTAGAGGGCAGTGCCTCTAAAGCAGCGTTTTTCAACCCTGGTCCTCAAGGCACCCTGCTCTGCATGTTTTAGATGTTTCCCAGCTTCCACACACCTGTTATCAATTGATAGCAGATTATCAGGCTTTGCTGAACTGCAATCATCTGAATCAGGTGAGCTGAAGCTCAGAAACATCCAAACCATGCAGAGCAGGGTGCCTTCAGGACCAGGGTTGAAAAACACTGAACTAAAGGCATCATATCTTTCAGATGACGACAATCAACCCCTTAAACCCGGTGGGCCCGATAGCGGGCCCGACTGACAACTGCTCACGTTTATCTATTTATAGAGATGGCCAAAACACAGTCACATGGTGTTTCATCCACACGCCTTTCAAATGGGGCTTTAAACATGTTTCAAAAAAGTTTTTTTTTTTACAAGTACTTTGTTTTATAGCTGCGTAAACAAATAAAATAAGATTTAAAATTCCACATGACATGTGACTCTTCATCTTTAGCCCCGCCCCCTAATGGCCACCGTCATTGGAAACTAGAGGCTCAGACCTTTCCAAGGAGGGGTCAGAGGTCATTGTGCGACCATTTCAGGGGATGTAACCGGCATGCTTTACATAAGCTGCTCTGTTTTTTTTAAATTTTCTGATCAGGTTGATGATTTTATTGGTAAATTTCAATGAAACAACAACTAAATCTTAGTACCAAAGGCTTTCCTTTATGCAGAAGGTCTCCAATAATGGAAATCAGAATATTTGTCTTAATAGATTCTCTTTTATGAAGAGAAAAATGCATGTTTGCATAATTTGGCCACAAATTGCTCACTAAAACCTTTGTGGAACAAACATGCTTCAACTTTTTCAGCCCAAATTTGCTCAAGTTCTAGTCAAGAAGTGGATCTATAAAGTCTGAGTCATCCAGAGTTTCTAATGAGCTTTCATGGTGTTTTGCAGAGAATATTTTTATTTATTTTTTTAATCACCTGTAAATCAGACATGGTGACATTTAAATTAGTGGTTCCACCTGAAAAATCTTCCTCAGTACCTTTCTGTTATACAAACAATTGTATTTCCAATTTATAGTTTGGGAGCTTTAACATATGAACTTTTAAGACACTCTGGACTTAATCCATCATCTTTGTTTCTTCTCCTTTTGTATCAAACAGCCTGATAATATCTCATAAATATCCTGAGCAGAGACGAGTTCCTGCTCTATCACACAGATTCTGGTCAAATGGAGGAAAACTGGGAAGGTTCCACTTCCTGGTCCATCGTTTTCCAGCTCTGTAAAAACAGAACATTCCGTTTTAAAAGAGTCATTTTTATTCTACTTTTGCATCAAAGAAGCTTCAGCAGCAAAAACACAACTGCTGCTTCATTTCTGATACTGCTCCTCGCTAAGGTCAGACGTCCAGTAAAGTGTGTCAAGATGCATCTGAAGCTTCTGTCACTGGGAATCCCCAGCAGCAGCTGCCTCAGCTCCAGCTCCCAGATCAGCTTCTCTGATTGGTTGATGCGGCGCGTCCAGCAGCTGACGTATCTGAAGCACGTTTCATGCCTCAGATGATCAGAAGCTAATGAGGCGCGCCTCCTGCTATTCTAGATGCGCTGCAGGGCGTTTTGCCGGGCCTCTATGAGCGCCAAGCACATTTATGGCAGGCCGTTTTGACATTCTATTGTTCCATTTATTGAAGCCTCTAAAATAAGATTCTTCCTGCAAAACTACACTCCTACTAGTCAGAACTGTA